AAGAGATTCACATCGAATGAGGAAGTCATCGCGGAAACCGAGGCGTATTTCGAAGGCTTGGACGTTTCGTACTACAGAAAGGGCATCGAAATGTTGGAAAATCGCTATACCAAGTGTATCGCCCTCAAAGGGCAACTATGTTGAGAAATAAATATAACTTTGCACAAAAAACGCTTGTTTTCATTAAAAATCCCGGGATTTTTCCCGCCCATGTAGTAAACTTTTTAAAAATGAATATCATATACACGTCAATTGGTCACTGCTATAAAATAAATTTAGAGAACAGATAGGAGAACAGATAGGAGAATTGTATCTCTTATTATGATATCTGTAATGATTAAAGTTTATTGAATGGGATAAAAATTAATTAAAAAATGAAATGTTTCTTTAACTGACAAATAATTTCAAAATTATGCTCAATTTTTTTTTTATAATATCACTAAGTATACACGAAAAAGGGAAATTAATTACATTATTAATTGTACAAACTGCACTAATTGCAAAAATAGAAATCACGAATTACGTTGGTAAAAATATCGATTAGGAGACTAGACTCCAATAACCTTAATCTTAATGACTATATTATCGTGCTCATGACTCTGAGTGACCTCCAACAGGACCCTTTGTCTAGCGGCACATGATTTTCGATCTACTTTTAGATATACAAATAAATCTCATACTACGTATGTATAGTTGCCTCTTCTAAAATATATTTTAAACTAGAAAATTTTTATCTTATATAATAAAAAGGTAATTTTTACAAACTTTCTTCTTTCGTTAATAACTTTTTAACAAACAATGAGCGACGGTTTAAACTTGTTAAAACTTATTCAAAGTCACGACTTTGATAACATATGTCCCTTGTATCAAATTTATTTATCAATATTTACCCAATATATACAAATTAATAAAAAGATTTTTACGTACACACAAATACAAACACACACACACACAACACAAATACAATTTAAGAGTATATTTCTGTCTCACAAATTATATCAAAAATAAAGTAAAATCCCCTATAGATTCCTGATACAACATAATGGGGTTCTTGCATCCAATTTCACAAATATTGACGTCAATTAGTTTAAAAAAAATTCTGATATCTTACATTAAGAGCTTATTTCATAGTAAGGGACTTTCCTCTATGTCCATATATGTTTTCACTTATTTATATTTGTCATAAATATTATATAAAGTATTTAGTCCATATTTTAATAATTTAATAATTTCGAAAATAAAACTTAAAAAAGTAAATATGTAAATAAGTAAAAAGGAAAAAGGGCTACGAGCCTAAAAACAATCAACATAAAATGACAAACTGTATAAATAGTTAAAAAATAAAATAAAACATGTCATGAAATTAAAAACGTAAATGATAATTTGACAATCAGAAGGTAAACAAAACAAACGTTTCGATCCGTGTTGGATCATTTTCAATGTGACAAATAAATTAATATAATAGTAGAATTATAACATAGATAAAACATAAGAAATTAAATAAAATTCGCATTCGGACGCAATATTAACTATAAAACTCGTTCCAAATTGAGAGGAAATCAAACAAACGATTATAGTTGACACAAATGTGCTCCTCCGAACCGTGTGTGTGTATAAGGACGAACATGTTTCTGTTAGCAAGTATAAATTATAATAATAAATTATCGACGGAAGTAAATAAAAATAATAAGAAAAGTACAAATCGAGTCGCAAACAATAAAAAGAAAGGTACAAAATAAGTTGCAAGTAATAAGTTAAAATTAAAAGAAAGAGGCAAAAATTATCTTTGATATTATAAGACAAGCACATAAAAAATAATAATGACGATAGAAAAAAAATAAAATGCCGACATTCATTGTATATGTATAATGAGTTTAGAACAAATAAATTTATAATAAATATCTTATGTGTGTCAAAATGATGTGTTATCGATTAGGCAATGCGATGGGAATCGAAATTAATCATAAGAAGCTAAGAGATAAAGTACGACATATAAAGACAGGAAGATTGAAATGGAAAACTAAAAAGGAAGGGGAACATAAGAAGGAGAGAATAAAGTAGAAGCGAGAGAAAATAGAGAGAGAAGAGATGGATAGGAAAAGGAAAGCAGTTAAGAAGAAGAAAAAGATTGGATGAGCTGTGAGTATCAGGTAAAGATTCGGTATCATTTTGCCTATTAAAGCCTTGTTTCTGTCTTTTAATATGAATCATTTCAGACACCAATCTCTTATTGTAAGAAGATTCGCAGTTCAAAATTCTCACATCATTCCATTTAAAATTATGATCAAAATTGATTCGATGATCAGTTATGACAGTAGGAGAACCTGTATTCTTTTTAATGTCAGAGATATGTTCGCGTAGTCTCGTGCTCAATTTTCTTTTTGTCTGACCAACATAACTCGTCTCACAATCATCACATGAGATCTTGTAGACAACATTCTGATTGGATAGGAAATCAAGCTTATCTTTTCCTCTCTTTATGAAGCTTTTTAATGTGTTGGGAATAGAAAAGGCTAATTTACAATGAAAACATACTAGAGATGGGAAGGAAACTTTCAGAAATAGATTTAACATAAGGAATCGTAAAATATTTGTCTTTATTACGTGAATAATGTGTAGTATCTTTGTTATATTTGTGAAACTTTAATCTGCGTTCAATTGTAGAGAAAATAAAGGAAAGATGATAACAGTTATTTAAGAAAGTATGAATAGCATCTATGAAATTTTTTTGTTGGAACCGTGGATGTGATAATAGGATAATTTCAATGAAACTGATGGTATCTTTTTTATGACACAGAGGATGATTTGAATGGAAATAAGAAACCTTCCGGAAAATGTCTTTTTATGATAAATGTCAAATATAATTCTCTGATTATCTATAACAAGCATTGTAGCAAGAAAACTCAATCTGCCACTTGTACCAACCTCCAAGGTAAACTGCAATTTTGTATGTAAAGAATTAAAAATGTTCAGTGTCATCGACAGTATCAGATGGAAGCGCGAGCAGAATATCGTCTACATATCTAAAATAGAACAAAGGTTGTGCTGACAATTTTTTAAATGCTGTTCCTTCTAGATCTTGCATTACAATGTTGGCGATTATCGGAGATAACGGTGAATCCATCGGAGTGCCAAACATCTGTCTGTAAGTTCTATTGTTAAAGGTAAAAAAGGTAGAATCTAAAATGAACCTAACAGCAATAATAAATTCATTTTTTGATATGTTTGTCTTCGCCGAGATGTAAACCCATCTCCTATCGATGCTATTTAATACTAGCTCAACAGGAATATTAGTAAAAAGGGATATTACATCCAACGAAGCCAAAACATAATTAGGATCAGAAACATGTTCGTCCTTATACACACACACGATTCGGAGGAGTACATTTGTGTCAACTATAATTGTTTGTTTGATTTCCTCTCAATTTGGAGCGAGTTTTATAGTTAATATTGCGTCCGAATGCAAATTTTATTTAATTTCTTATGTTTTATCTACGTTATAATTCTATTATTAATTTATTTGTCACATTGAAAATGATCCAACAAGGATCGAAACGTTTGTTTGTTCACCTTCTGATTGTCAAATTATAATTTACGTTTTTAATTTCATGACATGTTTTATTTTATTTTTTAACTATTTATACAGTTTGTCATTTTATGTTGATTGTTTTTAGGCTCGTAGCCCTTTTTCTTTTTTATTTATTTTAATTTATTGAGCCTTATTATTTTTATAATTTAATTTACGCGGACGAAATTATGCGTTTTCAACACAAATATTTTCCATTCACCTTTGCTCTCATAAAAAACCGATTTGGTTTTTACATTTGTAACTTGCTGAAATAATTATGTAATCTCGTCAAATTGAGTGTGAATATTAAGACTCGTATTAAATTTATTAATTCATGCTTGAAATTAGAATTAATTCCTCCGCATTTATATAAGTTTACCAAATCCAATGGTTTTTCTTTATACAATAATACTTCTTATAAAAGACTTGAAAGGATACAACTTAATAATGTAAAGGCAATTATGCGATTGGAGTTAAGGGACGCTTACTGCCAATTGTACTCAACCAGAAATGATATTTTTTTACTTTCTAACATAATTTTTTACAATTTACCATTAGGTAACTGTATTCAAGGTTTAACATATTCAGCACAGGTAGAAGTACTTATAGATCCTTCGTGAGATCCGTTTTTAATCACATCATATATGTCATTAGGCTTAACCTTCTCAATTCGATATGATCCTAAATATTTTGCTCCTAATTTTCGGCTTGGTTCTAATTGTATTCGTTTGATTGCTACTAGGTCTCCCACCTGGTGGACTACATTCTGTAGCCTTCTTATGTCTGAAATTATATGTCTTACGATTCTCCGATTGCACTTTTAGAATTTGTTCTTTCGCTCTAGCTCTAATTTCGTTACGTTCTTCCTCAAATTTCGATCGAAATTCTTGTTCTATTACTTCGTGTAGTTTCAGATCGGTTTCGTCGCGCATTTTTATGCCAAATAGTAAATCGAAAGGCGTCTCATTTACGTTACGATTGAACGTGGAGTTTAATATACGTTGCAATTTATCTACATGTTTGTACCACTTAGCAGGCTCTTCGATTGATAACTTGCAGAGTATCAATATGATTGCTCTATTCAAACGTTCCACTTGTCCGTTTGCCCTTGGCAATCCCGTGGTAACTGTCACGTGTTCAATTCCTTCCCTCTGACAATACTCCTTGAACTCTTGGGAGGTAAAAGCTGTGTCTCTATCCGTCACGATTTGTTTCGGATTTCCGAATATTTGTTTTTGAACATCTAACCGACTTGTAACCTCGCGAGCTGTGGTAGATTTAGTCGGATACAATCGTACAAATTTAGTAAAATTGTCAATAATAGTGAGAATATGATTGTAGCTTTTATTAGTGGTATCTAACGGCCCTAAATGATCGATGTGATATGTGTGTAATGGCACATCAGATTTGGGAATGGGATGTAAATATCCTTCCTGCCTATCCTCTTTGTGATTCGTCAATATACACTGCACACAATTGGCAATGTGTCGTTCTACTTTATTCCTAAATATAAATATAATTGCGTATAAAATACTCCTGAATACGAATACGCTCTTTGCCGCCATATATCCTTTCTCGTGAATCGTTCGAATTACGTCTAATTCTAGTGTTCTAAGAATAACGAGTAAATCCCTACTATCTTAAAATTTGTATAATAAATCGCCGCTTATGTGATAATTCTTATACGGTTTGTCTTTGGCAATTTCTATTATCGCTTGAATCTCTTCATCGCTTGCTTGCTGACTCCTAATTTGTGGTATAATTGGACTTTTCGCTATTGTCATAACCGGATGCCGATTCAAAGCATCGACGTGTTTCATACAGGTTCTGTGCTCTATGACATAAACATAATCCTCTAAAGCCCATTTAGCAATACTCGTACTTAATTCCTTTTTGCTCATGGTTCGTTGAAAAACACAATCAGTAATTATTTTAAACTGAATTCCTAACAGATACACTCGGAATTTTCTAAGTGCCTCTACTATCGTAAGTGCCTTCAATTCGTAACTCGTGTAATTCCTTTCCTCTTTTTTAGTCTTTTTGCTCATAAAATATACTGGGTGTAATAAGTTGTCTTCGTCTGAACGCTGCAGAAGTCCATAACCGTTTATACTTGCGTCCATATGTACTTCCGTTTCGTATCGCGAATGATATATTTTCAGTACTGGATTCTGAGTTAGAACCGTCTTCAATTGTATGAACGCATTTCAAGCCTTATCGTCAAAATTATACGATTGATCTTTCCGCAACATGTCGCTCGACGGGTGTAGAATACGAAGGTGTAAATTTTCTGAAGTGGAACCCGTTCATCCAAGAAAGCTTTGAATATCTTTTAATTCTTTCGGCTCTGGGTAATTTATCACAGCTTTGACTTTCTCTTGGGAAGAGTAAATTTTGCCACCTTCTACTATATGACCTAGAAACTCGATGTTCTTTTCACGAATTGACATTTTTTAAAATTAATTTGCAAAACGGAATCGCTAGCTGTTTTCAATACGATTCGCAAGCGTTCCAACGCTTTTTGTTCGTTTGCTGCTGGCATGATCAAATCATCCATGTAAAGTAAAACTATATTTTGTGTAATCAAATCCCAGCAGCATTAATATATCTTTGGAAAACCCTCGGCGAATCCAAAAGGACTTTCAAGAATTGATATTGACCGTTCGGAGTGACAAACGCCGTATATTTTCGACTCTCTTTTTCTACGAATACATGAAAAAATTCATTTTTCAAGTCTAACGTATTAAACACACATCATCAACAACATTCTCTAATTTATCTAGTAGATCTTCAATTAGTGTTAAGGGATGATCCTTTTCTATGACTCGATTTAATTTTCTGTAATCAATACATACACGCGGTGATCCGTCCTTCTTTCTTACAATGACTATTGAATTCGTATTCCGACGTACACTTCTCAATGACCTCCGTTGATTAGCCATTCCGCTAATTGGTTTTCGACTATTTCGCGTTTAGGTGCCGGTAATCGTCGCAGTTTTTTGAAAGATAGGCCTTTCGTTTTTTGCATACTCATAACACGCATGCTCACGTTGTCTTACACTTATTTACTTGATACGTTTCAACAATTGTCTCTACTTCTTCACGTACTTTCGTATCCGTCACGTTACCAATGTCTAACGGTTGCTTTTCGATCACGTTGGTTTGTGTTAACAATTGAGCAGGTGTTGCTCTTCGTATAGTTATTCTGTCGTTATTGACGGTCATTTCCGTCGTCGCTAGGAAATCGCTACCAATTATAACGCTTGAGTTTGTAGCTTCATTTGGTACAATGTGCACTATACACGGATATTCATCAGCATCTCCTTCTACGATTGTAATTATGCAACCTAATGAATGCACTTCGTTTTTTCCAAAATCGGTTAAATAGATACTATTTCCCCGTAGCTTATCTAATTTCACTTTATCATAAACATCTTTGCGCATTACCGTGATTTGACTGCCGGTATCAATTAATGCATTAACTCGGATATGTGAAGTTCGCATCCCAACTATAGTACTCAGGAGTTCTGATTAGAGTTCCCATTTCCTTTTGACGAGACAAAGAATTCTATATAATTTATAACAAGAGTTCCGCTTAATAATTATTTTTAAATAATTTTTAAAAAATGGGGTGCTAACTTCTCGAAAATCGAGATCATCGATGTCAGACTTAGAAAATTTTCAACGATAGAGTTCAAATGTCTCCGTATCATAACGTCGAAAAATTTTTTAAGAGTACCGAGTAGTTCTGATTAGAGTTCTGTGTAGTTTTCGACGAGTTCTGTCAAAAAGTATTAGGTGAAAAAGCGATTGGATGACTACATAAGGAAATACGTACTTCTGCAATCGATTTTTCAAATTTCGTTTTAAGTATATATCTTTTTTATTATTGATTCTGTGTTGGTTTTAATCGCTGAGAACTCTTCGTAATTGTTAGAATGACAATTAACGTGTCACAGAACTATTTTATAAAAAAAATTTTTTTTCCAAAAAATTTTTTAAAAATTATTTAAAAATTGTTACTAAATGAATCTTGCATTAAAAAATATAGAGAACTCTTCGTCTCGTTAAAAGGAAGCAGGAACTCTAATCAGAACTATTGTATCTAAAAATTGATTTTTCAAAAATTTTTAATTTTTTTTGATTTTTCAAAATTTTTTTTTATGCATCAGGAACTCTAGATATTCACGAAATGAAGCTATTGAGCCACTCAGAACTATTCGATCTCGATTTTCAATGAGAAGTTAGCACCCCATTTTTTAAAAATAATTATTAAGCGGAACTCTTGTTATAAATTATATAAAACTCTTTGTCTCGTCAAAAAGAAACAAGAACTCTAATCAGAATTCCTGAGTACTATAGTTGGGATGCTAACTTCACATACCCTGATTTTTACCTTTAATAAAATATTATATAATTTCCTAATTTAATCAAATTGTCTATACATATATATACAATATATATATATATATATATATATATATGGTATATATATATATATTTTTTTATATACTTATATATTATGGACAATTTGATTAAATTAGAAAATTATGATCGGTCATTATGCATAATATCCAATTAATCAAATTTCCCATAACATATATATTTAATAATAAATTCGAATTCAAATATCTTATCAATAATCGATTTCGCAATTTTGTCGAATGAACGTTCCAAACTCTCTTTATTCATCTCGCAACAATAAAATTATTAAAAACTTCAAAATTATAAAGACGTCAGTTTATAAAAATTATAAAGACCATCAGATGATGGTTACATATATCCTGAAATAGGAATATAATCGATATAATCGATATTTTGAAATATCATCTCGATTCATATTGATATATGAAATATCGATAGTTTGTGTTTTCCGCACATCCTAAATGCAGTCATGATATGATATGTTGCTACGCAACTATAAAATTGTTTCAAACATATCATGTGTTCATACTTAATAACAAGCCACAGATTTGCAAAGTCGTTTTCTGAATTGTTGCTGCTATCGACAGAAATGTTAATCGACATTTTTAATTGTATATTTCGCTTTGTGTTATACTTGAAATACTGTTCTTAATAATTCTCTTATTAATTCTTAAAGTGTTGTTCTTCTATTTTGAAAATGTAAGTAAGCTTGAATAGTTGTATAAATATTAATATGACAAAATTTGTCATATTAATTTTCGAATATGATAAAATTTTGCAATTATTCATATATTTTTTTGTTCTTGATATAGAAGAAAACATCAAAAAGGAAATATTTTTATACTAAAAAATATCGAGATTTGAAAAATTTGCATGTATCATCATCACTATCCAAAAATAAAGAAATTAAAAACGTATGAAAAGAAAAGCATAAAAAACTACCGCATAAGATATTGTTTGTGATATTTAATTATCATTACATTAATAAAACATTAGACGTTTCGGCCACAATCTGGTTATCTTCAATAAATTCACAATATTCTTAAAACGCAGAATTACATATAGCTGATATTAAACCATCGTATGATATACGAGGGTAGAGGTTGAAAAGTAATGCCTCCATTTCAACAAAATCCTCTAGAATGGATAAAAAATTACCAAAAAATTACAGTAGGTAGAAAAATCTTTATTGAAAAACATCCCATGATTATTTCTCGACATAGTCGCCATTGACATTAATACATTTATGTAACCGATGTATCCATTTGTCCATCCCGTCAACGAAAAATTGGGGCTCTTTATTCCGACACCAAGCATTCACAAATTCTTGAACTTCGTTGTCCGAGTCGAAATGATGTTCCTTAAGGTCATCTTTTAGTAGTGGAAATTAGTTAAAATTTAGTAGTGGAAAGAAGTCAAAATTTCCTTGCACATGTCAAGTCTCTTTTTCTTCATTTCGTCTGTGAGCATCCTTGGGACCCATCTCGCACAAATCTTTCGATACTTGAGCTCATTACTGATAATATGATTCACTCTTTCTTTAGAAATACCCACGATACGAGCAATTTTATGCTGCGTAATCCTTCGGTTTTCATGAATCAAGTCGTCAATCTTTTGGACATTGCCATCTGTCACCGCAGTTTTCGGA